ATCAGAAGGTGGGAAATATATAAATCAAGTGAGCTAATAAGGATCGGAAGGAATCTAATGCATATGTATATGGAAAGTGGTGCATTGGCCAGGTCGGTCAGTATGGGAACTTAGAGTGCAAATGCCAGGGAGAACGGAACCGCTCAGATCTCGCATAAGACACGGAATCTAGTGGTCTCACTCAAATATAAGGTAGAAAATATATTCATCTAGTGAATGTAAGGGTTTGAAAGGTAACTAACGCACATGTGTAGAGAAAATGGTGCATCGGCCAGTCTGGCCGGCATTTCGCACTCATAGTGCACGTGGGGCCAGGGAGAACAGAAACGCTCGTTTCTCAAAAAGTAGAGGGAATCTAATGGTCTCACTCGATCAGAAGGTGGGAAATATAAAAATCTAGTCAGCTAAAAAGGTTTGAAATGTATTCGATGCACATCTATAGAGAAAATAGTGCATTGGCCAGGTCGGTCTTTATCGGAACATAAAATGCAAATGCCAGGGAGAACGGAAGCGCTCAGATCTCGCATAGTACACGCACTCAAGTGGTCTCACTCAAATAGAAGGTAGGAAATAAATTTATCTAGTGAACGTAACATTGAAAGGTAACTAACGCACATGTGTAGAGAAAATGGTGCATCGGCCAGTCTGGCCGGCATTTCGCACTTATAGTGCAAGTAGGGCCAAGGAGAACGGAAACGCTCATTTCTCAAAAAGTAAAGGGAATCTAGCGGTCTCACTCGATCAGAAGGTGGGAAATATATAAATCTAGTGAGCCAATAAGGTTCAAAAGGAATCTAATGCATATGTATATGGAAATTGGTGCATTGGCCAGGTCGGTAAGTATGGGAACTTAGAGTGCAAATGCCTGGGAGAACGGAAGCGCTCAGATCTCGCATAGTATACGGAATCTAGTGGTCTCACTCAAATAGAAGGTAGGAAATAAATTCATCTAGTGAACGTAAGGGTTTGAAAGGTAACTAACGCACATGTGTAGAGAAAATGGTGTATCGGCCTGTCTGGCCGGCATTTCGCACTTATAGTGCAAGTAGGGCCAAGGAGAACGGAAACGCTCATTTCTCAAAAATTAAAGGGAATCTAGCGGTCTCACTCGATCCGAAGGTGGGAAATATATAAATCTAGTGATGTAATAAGGTTCGAAAGGAATCTAATGCATATGTATATGGAAAATTGTGCATTGGCCAGGTCGGTCAGTATGGGAACTTAGAGTGCAAATGCCAGGGAGAACGGAAACGCTCATTTCTCAAAAAGTAAAGGGAATCTAGCGGTCTCACTTGATCAGAAGGTGGGAAATATATAAATCAAGTGAGCTAATAAGGATCGGAAGGAATCTAATGCATATGTATATGGAAAGTGGTGCATTGGCCAGGTCGGTCAGTATGGGAACTTAGAGTGCAAATGCCTGGGAGAACGGAACCGCTCAGATCTCGCATAAGACACGGAATCTAGTGGTCTCACTCAAATATAAGGTAGAAAATATATTCATCTAGTGAATGTAAGGGTTTGAAAGGTAACTAACGCACATGTGTAGAGAAAATGGTGCATCGGCCAGTCTGGCCGGCATTTCGCACTCATAGTGCACGTGGGGCCAGGGAGAACAGAAACGCTCGTTTCTCAAAAAGTAGAGGGAATCTAATGGTCTCACTCGATCAGAAGGTGGGAAATATAAAAATCTAGTCAGCTAAAAAGGTTTGAAATGTATTCGATGCACATGTATAGAGAAAATAGTGCATTGGCCAGGTCGGTCTGTATCGGAACATAAAATGCAAATGCCAGGGAGAACGGAAGCGCTCAGATCTCGCATAGTACACGCACTCAAGTGGTCTCACTCAAATAGAAGGTAGGAAATAAATTTATCTAGTGAACGTAACATTGAAAGGTAACTAACGCACATGTGTAGAGAAAATGGTGCATCGGCCAGTCTGGCCGGCATTTCGCACTTATAGTGCAAGTAGGGCCAAGGAGAACGGAAACGCTCATTTCTCAAAAAGTAAAGGGAATCTAGCGGTCTCACTCGATCAGAAGGTGGGAAATATATAAATCTAGTGAGCTAATAAGGTTCGAAAGGAATCTAATGCATATGTATATGGAAAGTGGTGCATTGGCCAGGTCGGTCAGTATGGGAACTTAGAGTGCAAATGCCTGGGAGAACGGAACCGCTCAGATCTCGCATAATACACGGAATCTAGTGGTCTCACTCAAATAGAAGGTAGGAAATAAATTCATCTAGTGAACGTAAGGGTTTGAAAGGTAACTAACGCACATGTGTAGAGAAAATGGTGCATCGACCAGTTTGGCCAGCATTTCGCACTCATAGTGCAGGTGGGGCCAGGGAGAACGGAAACGCTCGTTACTCAAAAAACTAGAGGGAGTCTAACGGTCTCACTCGATCAGAAGGCGGGAAATATATAAATTTAGTCAGCTAAAAAGGTTTGAAATGTATTCAACGCACATGTATAGAGAAAATGGTGCATTGGCCAGGTCGGTCAGTATCAGAAGTTAAAATGCAAATGCCTGGGAGAACGGACGCGCTCAGATCTCGCACAGTACACGGAATCAAGTGGTCTCACTCAAATAGAAAGTAGGAAATATATCAATCTAGTGAACGTAAGGGTTTGAAAGGTAACTAACGCACATGTGTAGAGAAAATGGTGCATCGGCCAGTCTTGCTGGCATTTCGCACTTATGGTGCAAGTAGGGCCAAGGAGAACGGAAACGCTCATTTCTCAAAAAGTAAAGGGAATCTAGCGGTCTCACTCGATCAGAAGGTGGGAAATATATATATCTAGTGAGCTAATAAGGTTTGGAAGGCATCTAATGCATATGTATATGGAAAGTGGTGCATTGGCCAGGTCGGTCAGTATGGGAACTTAGAGTGCAAATGCCAGGGAGAACGGAACCGCTCAGATCTCGCATAATACTTGGAATCTAGTGGTCTCACTCAAATATAAGGTAGGAAATATATTCATCTAGTGAACGTAAGGGTTTGAAAGGTAACTAACGCACATGTGTAGAGAAAATGGTGCATCGGCGAGCCTGGCCGGCATTTCGCACCCATAGTGCAGGTGGGGCCAGGGAGAACGGAAACGCTCGTTTCTCAAAAAGTAGAGGGAATCTAACAGTCTCACTCGATCAGAAAGTGGGAAATATATAAATCTAGTCAGCTAAAAAGGTTTGAAATGTATTCAACGCACATGTATAGAGAAAATGGTGCATTGGCCAGGTCGGTCAGTATCAGAACTTAAAATGCAAATGCCTGGGAGAACGGAAGCGCTCAGATCTCGCATAGTACACGGAATCAAGTGGTCTCACTCAAATAGAAAGTAGGAAATATATTAATCTAGTGAACGTAAGGGTTTGAAAGGAAACTAACGCACATGTGTAGAGAAGATTGTGCATCGGCCTGTCTCGCCGGCATTTCGCACTTATAGTGCAACTAGGGCCAAGGAGAACGGAAACGCTCATTTCTCAAAAAGTAGAGGGAATCTAGCGGTCTCACTTGATCAGAAGGTGGGAAATATATAAATCTAGTGAGCTAATAAGGTTCGGAAGGAATCTAATGCATATGTATATGGAAAGTGGTGCATTGGCCAGGTCGGTTAGTATGGGAACTTAGAGTGCAAATGCCTGGGAGAACGGAACCGCTCAGATCTCGCATAGTACACGGAATCTAGTGGTCTCACTCAAATATAAGGTAGCAAATATGTTCATCTAGTGAACGTAAGGGTTTGAAAGGTAACTAACGGACATGTGTAGAGAAAATGGTGCATCGGCGAGTCTGGCCGGCATTTCGCACTCATAGTGCAGGTGGGGCCAGGGAGAACGGAAACGCTCGTTTCTCAAAAAGTAGAGGGAATCTAACGGTCTCACTTGATCAGAAGGTGGGAATTATATAAATCTAGTCAGCTAAAAAGGTTTGAAATGTATTTAACGCACATGTATAGAGAAAATGGTGCATTGGCCAGGTCGGTGAGTATCGGAACTTAAAATGCAAATGCCTGGGAGAACGGAAGCGCTCGGATCTCGCATGGTACACAGAATCAAGTGGTCTCACTCAAATAGAAAGTAGGAAATATATTCATCTAGTGAACGTAAGGGTTTGAAAGGTAATTAACGCACATGTGTAGAGAAAATTGTGCATCGGATTGTCTCGCCGGCATTTCGCACTTATAGTGCAACTAGGGCCAAGGAGAACGGAAACGCTCATTTCTCAAAACGTAGAGGGAATCTAGCGGTCTCACTCGGTCAGAAGGTGGGAAATATATAAATCTAGTCAGCTAAAAAGGTTTGAAATGTATTCAACGCACATGTATAGAGAAAATGGTGCATTGGCCAGGTCGGTCAGTATCGGAACTTAAAATGCAAATGCCAGGGAGAACGGAAGCGCTCGGATCTCGCATAGTACACGGAATCAAGTGGTCTCACTCAAATAGAAAGTAGGAAATATATTCATCTAGTGAACGTAAGGGTTTGAAAGGTAACTAACGCACATGTGTAGAGAAAATTGTGCTAATAAGGTTCGAAAGGAATCTAATGCATATGTATATGGAAAATGGTGCATTGGCCAGGTCGGTCAGTATGGGAACTTAGAGTGCAAATGCCAGTGAGAACGGAAACGCTCAGATTTCGCATAGTACGCGGAATCTAGTGGTCTCACTTAAATAGAAGGTAGGAAATAAATTCATCTAGTGAACGAAAGGGTTCGAAAGGTAACTAACGCACATGTATAGAGAAAATGGTGCATCGGCTAGTCTGGCCGGCATTTCGCACTTATAGTGCAAGTACGGCCAAGGAGGACGGAAACGCTTATTTCTCAAAAAGTAAAGGGAATCTAGCGGTCTCACTCAATCAGAACGTGGGAAATATATAAATCTAGTGAGCTAATAAGGTTCGGAAGGAATCAAATGCATATGTATATGGAAAGTGGTGCATTGGCCAGGTCGGTCAGTATGGGAACTTAGAGTGCAAATGCTGTCAGATTACTATAGCTGATGCATGTTTGTAGGCTATAGTGGGGTAGCACATATGGGGTACAGCTTTCTAGGGTTGTATTTGTACCCAACTCTGACTTAGTCAATTCATTCCTGTTCTCTTACTTTCACATGGTATAGAGCGGGTCCTTCCTAAGGACCGTTTTTTTAGGGCCCACCGAAGCGCGCCCCGAGGCGCGCATTTTTTTTTTTCAGCGACTCTCCGAGTCGCCCTTCCTCTCGCGGCTCCGCCGCCCTTACTAGCGGCCCCGCCGCCCACCTTTCGAGCGGCCCCGCCCTTTAGCGGCCCCGCCCTGCAGCGGCCCCGCCCTCTAGCGGCCCCGCCCCGTTGCGGCCCCACCCTGACGCGGCCCCGCCCCTTTGCGGCCTCTGCCCCGTCGCGGCCCAGCCAGCCCCGTCGCGGCCCCGCCCCGTCACGGCCCAGCCGCCCCTTCGCGGCTCCGCCCCGTCGCGGCCCCGCCCCGTCGCGGCCCCGCCCCGTCACGGCCGAGCCGCCCCTTCGCGGCCCCGCCCCGTCGCGGCCCCACCCCGTCACGGCCCAGCCGCCCCTTCGCGGCCCCGCCCCGTCAAGGCCCCGCCCCTTCGCGGCCCCGCCCCGTCGCGGCCCCGCCCCGTCACGGCCCGTCACGGCCCCGCCCCTTCGCGGCCCAGCCCCGTCGCGGCCCAGCCGCCCCGTCGCGGCCCAGCCCCGTCGCGGCCCAGCCGCCCTGTCGCGGCCCAGCCCCGTCGCTGCCCAGCCGCCCCGTCGCGGCCCAGCCCCGTTGCGGCCCCACCCTGACGCGGCCCCACCCTGACGCGGCCCCGCCCCTTTGCGGCCCCTGCCCCGTCGCGGCCCAACCAGCCCCGTCGCGGCCCCGCCCCGTCCCGGCCCAGCCGCCCCGTCGCGGTCCGGTCGCCCCGTCGCGGCCCCGCCGCCCCGTCGCGGCCCCGCCCCATCCCGGCCCAGCAGCCCCGTCGCGGCCCGGTCGCCTCCTGACGGCTCCTGCCGTCCCCTTCTACCGGCCCCGCAACTGCACCTGCTGGCCCCGCCGCTGCACCTACCGGCCCCCCACCACCCCCCCCCCCCTTTTTCCCGTCGCCTGTCGAGGCGACCTGAGGGGGCCGCTTGGGGCCAGCCGAGGGGTGACAGGTGTGTGGCCTCCCCTGCTTCTCCTCCTCCTTCATCTCCCACTGCAGCTGCCGAGCCGCTCACCTGCAGCAGCCGAGACGCCCCACCGCCGAGCCGCCCTGCGCCCTAGCCGCCCAGCAGCCGAGCCGCCCTGCCGCCGAGCCGCCGGGTCGCTGAGCTGCTGAGCTGCAGTTGCTGCCGAGCCGCACCGCCACCGAGTCGCCGAGCTGCTGAGCTGCAGTTGCTGCTGAGCCGCCTTGCCGCCGAGCCGCCCGAGTCGCCCGAGCCGCCGAGCCGCCGAGCTGCCGAGCCGCCCGAGTCGCCGAGCCTACTCTTCCCACCACTGGTGAGCTCTTGCCCTACTAGCACGCTGCGCGTCGCCTGCTTGCCTGCCTGCCTGCCTTTTGGCTTGCCTGGCTGCCTGCCTTCCTGCTGCTAGTCCTGCTTCTGCTTCTACTTGCGGAGCCAGATGCAGCCCCAGCGACGCCTGCGTGAGTCCCTCACGCCCCAGCAGCTGCGTGAGTGGTACGCTGGTTGGGGCTGTAGGGGTGGCGGCGCTACTCCTACTACCACTCCTGCTGCTTCTACTCGTGGTGGCGGCCAGATGCAGCTCCCGCGACCCTCTCGCGTGTCCCTCACGCCTCGCCAGCTTCGTGAGTGGTACGCTCAGAGTAGAGGGTCTCTCAGTGCTGTTCGCTGCTCTTACGTGATTCGCACTGGTACTCGGACAGGTCAGCCGTGTGGGACACCTAGTCATACACAGTCCCGCTGCTTCGCCCGTCTGAGCGACGCCTGGCGTACCGTGTTTGGCGACGAGGCTGAGCTTCCCGACTGGGTGGAGTTGCTTAGGCAGAGGGTAGATATATATGCTCTTGACTATGATGCTATTCTCACTGCCATGTATGCATTGCCTACTAGTGGTGACCGTGCCGGTCCCCTGTGCGTCCCGCCTGACCCAGGTATAGGACCTGCTGCTCTAGCTACTGGTGAGGCTGCTGCTCTAGGTGCTAGTGCGTCTCCTGCTCCAGGTACAGGTGCGGCTGCTGCTCTAGGTGCTAGTGAGTCTGCTTCCTCAGGTGCGGGTGAGGCTGCGCTCTCAGGTACCGCGTTGGCTTCGGCCTCCCTCTCCTTTACACTTGACTCTGGGGCTTCTCGCTCCTTCTTTCGGGACCGCACCACACTCACGCCGCTTGGTCGGCCGGTTGCAGTCTCCCTGGCTGACCCCTCTGGGGGTCCTCTCCTCGCTCACTTTTCCACTGTCCTCCCGTGTCCGGCTGCCCCCTCGGGCACCCTGTCTGGCCTGTACCTCCCCTCGTTCTCGACGAACTTGGTGAGTGGTGCAGACCTACAGGATGCGGGGGTTCACCAGTTCACTCCTGCGAGTCAGCGGGTGACCCACTGCACGGACGCACGCACAGGCCGGCACCTGGCCACGTTCTCGCGTCGGCCGGGGTCGAGCCTCCACACCCTGACCACTGAGTCTCCTCCTGTCCCCGCGTCCGGTCAGGTAGCAGCGTCGGGTCAGGTGTTTGCTGCTGCGTCCAGGTCTGGTCCTGAGTCTGCCCCCTGTTCGTGTCGCCTCCTGTCTCACGAGACTCTCCTGTGGCACCACCGTCTAGGCCACCCCTCCTTGCCCCGTCTTCGGGGCATGGCTTCCCGTGTCCTTGTCTCTGGTCTTCCCCAGTCTCTCCCTCCCCTTCCTTCGGGACCAGGACCTTCCTGTGTCCCCTGTGTTGAGGGGCACCTCAGGGCTGCTCCTCACTCCTCCCAGTTTCCCCCGACAGAGGCTCCTCTGCAGACGCTTCACATGGACGTGTGGGGCCCGGCCCCCGTCCGTGGGCAGGGTCACGAGCGCTACTTCCTGTTGGTGGTTGACGACTACTCGCGTTACACCTCAGTCTTCCCCTTGCGCAGCAAGGGTGCTGTCACTGAGGTGCTGATTGACTGGATCCGCGAGGCTCGTCTCCAGCTCAGGAGGAGCTTCGGCTCGGACTTTCCTGTTCTGCGTCTGCACTCTGACCGAGGTGGGGAGTTCTCCTCTCGCCTTCTGCGAGACTACTGTCGTGCACAGGGGATCCGCCAGACCTTTACGCTTCCGGACTCTCCACAGCAAAATGGGATTGCTGAGCGCCGCATTGGCATGGTCATGGATGTCGCTCGTACGTCCATGATGCATGCGGCTGCCCCCCATTTTCTGTGGCCGTTTGCGGTTCGGTACGCGGCGCATCAGCTCAACCTTCACCCCAGGGTCTCTCGGCCCGCGATGTCCCCAGTGTTACTGTGGACGGGGAAGGTCGGCGATGCGTCTGCGTTCCGTGTCTGGGGATCTCGGGCGTTTGTCCGCGACTTGTCTGCGGACAAGCTGTCCCCCCGTGCTGCTCCCTGTGTCTTCCTTGGCTTCCCCCCTGACGCTCCAGGGTGGCAGTTCTACCACCCCTCCTCTCGTCGTGTACTGTCCTCCCAGGACGTCACGTTCGACGAGTCAGTCCCCTTCTACCGCCTCTTCCCCTACCGTACTCCTTCCCTCCCCCCCCCACCGGACTTCCTGGTACCAGTTCCTCCCCCGGTAGACCCCCTCCCCCCTCAGGTTCCTGCCCCTTCATGTGTGTCCCAGGTAGACACAGTCGAGCCAGTCGAGGTTGCTGCTGAGTCTGGTCCTGCTGCGGGTGCTGAGCCTGGGGGTGCGAGGCCGGGGGGTGCTGAGTCTGGGGGTGCTGAGCCAGGGGGTGCTGAGCCGGAGGGTGCTACGTCCGGAGCTGCTGAGCCTGGGGGTGCTGGGCCTGGAGGTGCGGAGCCTGCGCCTGCTGGACCTGGGGGCTCTCCGGTTCTTCCGTCTCGGCGGGAGCCGCTCTCTCCACAGGAGCTGCGCGAGTGGTTTGCTCGCCGCTGGAGGCGTGCTGCTGGAGCTGGAGCTTCTTCGCCTGCTGAGGGTGCTGGTGCTGCCGGTCCCGGAGCTGCTGGGCCTGCGGGTCCTCCTGGAGCTGGAGCTACTGAGCCTGGGGGTGCTCGGTCTAGAGCTGCTGAGCCTGGAGGTGCTGAGTCTGGAGCTGTTGAGCCTGGGGGTGCTACGTCTGGAGCTGCTGTGCCTGGGGGTGCTGAGTCTGAAGCTGCTGAGCCTGGGGTTTCTCCTGCTACTGCGTCTCGCCGGGAGCCCCTCTCTCCACAGGAGCTGCGCGAGTGGTTTGCTCGCCGCTGGAGGCGTACTGCTGGAGCTGGAGCTTCGTCGACCGTCGAGGGTGCTGGTGCTGCCGGTCCCGGAGCTGCTGGGCCTGCGGGTCCTGCTGGAGCTGGAGCTGCTGAGGGTGTTGGTGCTGAGACTACTGCTGTCTGTCCTGGCGGTGGTTCTGCTGCTGGTGCTGCTGGAGGTCCTGCCGCTGGAGGTGTTGGTGGTGCTGGTGCTGTCGCTGAGGGTGCTGGTGCTGTCCCGGCTGAGTCTGGAGCTGCCGCGCGGCCTCGGCCGTACTTCGTTCCGCTCCTACAGCAGGTTCTTGGTCTTTCTCCTTCGGTAGAGTGTCCACAGCCTGTCCAGTCGCAGTCCCTGCTGGAGCCTTCCTCTCCACTACCTGCTCCCTCTCCTTACACTGGTCCTACTGGAGGTCTTGCTGAGCGTCGTGAGCCTGCGTCTCGTCCCGCGTCGCCTGTTCGTGCTGCTCGCGCTAGTGGTCGCAGTTCGCGTCAGCGTCCTCCTCCTGTCCCTGGCACGCACCGGATGTCTTTGCGTCCGTCCACTGCTCCCCTGCGTGCCCCTTTGCCTTCTCCTCCTGAGTCCTCTCTTCCTGCGCTTGCCGACCCTGAGTCGGACTCTCTTCGTGCTGCCAGTCCTACTGTCACGCGTCTGCTTGCTACTGTCGTCACTGACCCCTCTTTTGATTCCACTGCTGCGTCTGCTCTTGTCGCTGAGCTCGTCGACTTTGCTGCTCGCTGTCGTCTTGACTACGCTGCTAGTCTTGTTGCTGAGTCTGCGTCTGTCTGTCCTCCGTCCGTCGGGGGTGAGTGTGCTCTTGGCACGGACGTCCTAGAGGACAGGCAGGAGGAGTTACAGTGTCTAGCGGCTGCTTCACCTCATCTCGCGTCTGTACTGCTTGCCCCTGAGGGAGACCCGGATGCACTAGACATCCCGACTCCGCGTTCTTACGCGGAGGCCGTAGAGGGTCCCTACTCCTCTCAGTGGCAGGCAGCTATGGATGCAGAGATGGCTTCCTGGAAGTCCACATGCACCTACGTTGACGCGGTTCCCCCTCCTGGGGCGAACATCGTCAGTGGCATGTGGATCTTCAGGGTGAAGCGGCCGCCGGGCTCTCCACCTGTCTTCAAGGCGCGGTACGTTGCTCGTGGCTTCAGTCAGCGGCAGGGAGTTGACTACTTTCAGACCTTCTCTCCCACCCCGAAGATGACCACTCTTCGGGTGCTGCTGCACATAGCCGCTCAGCGCGACTACGAGCTTCACTCTCTCGACTTCAGCACTGCGTTCCTGCAGGGTAGCCTGCACGAGGAGATCTGGCTGCGCCGTCCGCCTGGCTTCATTGGGACTTTCCTTCTTGGCACCCAGTGGAGCCTCCGACGGCCAGTCTACGGTCTCCGCCAGGCACCGCGTGAGTGGCACGACACACTGAGGACTACGCTTGCGGCTCTTGGGTTTGCTCCTTCTACTGCTGACCCGTCGCTGTTTCTGCGCAACGACTCTTCCCTGCCGCCGTTCTACATCCTCGTGTACGTCGACGACTTGGTCTTTGCCACAGCGGACACTGCTGGACTCGCCTACGTGAAGTCCGAGCTGCTGAAGAGACACACGTGCACAGACCTGGCTGAACTGCGCAGCTACCTTGGCTTGCAGATCACTCGGGACAGAGCACGCCGCACCATTACCTTGACTCAGTCACACATGGTGCAGCAGGTCCTTCAGCGCTTCGGCTTCACGTACTCCTCGCCTCAGGCCACTCCTCTGCCTACTCGCCACTCACTCTCAGCTCTGCCTTCGGATGAGTCCGTAGAGTCGAGTGGTCCGTATGCAGAGCTTGTTGGCTGCCTCATGTACCTGATGACCTGCACACGACCT